GCACGTTGAACGAAAAGCTCAAGAGAACGTATGCGCAAGAAAAAGCAGCCATTTGACATTGCACAAAAGTGCAAGCGAACATAATTTACTGCCACATCCTTTCAAGTTGGTAATTCCCATGCGCATTGTCGGGGAACTCCAGCTTATGGATCTTCTGGAGCAGGTAGGAAGGGAGAGGGGACTTGGGCGGACAAAATCCTTCCCCTCTCCGTCCAGTCACATCACCTCCATTAGAAAAGGGTTTTTTCAAACAGGTCAGTCAACAGCGAATTATTATCAAGTACACAACTCCCCGGGACCAAGGTTTGTAGGAGCGAGATGCGCACTTTAACCAGCATGGTACGATCAACGATTTCCGGATCGTTACCCGTTCAGGGCAACGGAGCCTTCCATTCCCCTGGGATCGGTTAATTGGTACCGGACCCGGCCTAGAGGACAAAAGCACAAACTCGTCCATCAGCCGTAGACCTATAATCATTGTACAGGCATGCACATTCGAAACGCCTCCATGATTCTGAAAGTAGGTCGGGTGCGTCTCCCGGATGGGATTCATTAAGGTCGAAGCACTCTATCTTTTACTTTTTTGAACATCCTTTTTAGGATTCCTTTCTTTCCATTACTAATTAGGATGACTCTGAGCACTTCGCTACTCTAGCGAAAAATGACCATAATGACTCTTAGAATTACAACTACATTCTATTGGTGGACCTAAAATACCTTGTTGGAAATTCTCGTGAAATGAAATATTTATTGGCCAAGAATTGTAAATTACGTTTCCATGGAATCAGTTGAAAAGTAGGTTGGATTCTTACAAGGTTGGCGAGTTCTGAACAGAACTTCCGTCTCAGATGGGACTCGAATCCGCACTTGTGCTATCACGACACCGTGATCTCTATCTTTGTCACTACAAGTGCTGGTTCAAGTCCCATCTGAGTTCGAAACTTTCTCCAAAATTCGCCAAACTTGGAGAATTTCGGGCCACTAACCGCGGCGAAGTAATAGCTTGACAAAACATCAAGTCAAATTTGATTATTAGGGTTTCATAGAGAAAGAGGAAGTATAACCGTTATTCTAAAGTATGGATTAGAGCTGCTTTTATTCGGAATTTTTCCGAATACC